GATGAGTTCAAATTCGGAAGGTCAATGAATGAATCGAAACTTTTAAGGGAAATTTACAAGAAACAAATCATTTTTTTTAGGGCGATGATCGTGATGCAGATGAACGATTGGTTCTCGGAAGTCTAAAATTAATATGAATGAGTTGGCCGGCTGATCTGTTATTTTTTGATTCTATGAGTATCTACTGATTTCATTAACAAGGATGTTTGTCGTCATCAAAACCGACAGTCGTTTGACTTTTTTTTTTTTTTTCACACATCGGTAAGCCGAAATAGGAAATAGGTAAAAGAAGAGATCGCAGATTTTGAAAAGTGCGAACGCTTCACCGTTCGTTGATCGACGAAAATTAGAACCTAACGTTTTCGAACTCCGACGGGGAATCCTAGATAACAAATTTCAAGGATTTGTGATAATACGAATGAATACCTGGTAAAAGAAGGTGGTCACCTATTTTAAAGAAAGTAGATGACGAGGTTTGAAAATAACGTTATAATGATGACGAAGAGATGGCACATGTGACAGCGGAAAAATTGAAATTTTCGTAACATACAGGAAACGAATCAAATAATCTGAATATTGTCGAAGCAATTGCCCAGTTTTTTTTTAATAATCTGGTTCGAGATCATCGTTTTGCTTTTTCGCCGCGACAAGTCGTTAACATTTCTTTAATACTAATGGCAAAGTCACGGTCGTGATCAAATTCAATCTTTGCGAAAAAAAAAAAAAGGTACTCGGTCTTTATTGAATTTCACATTAGATGGCGCAGCACAGTTAATCCAATACGAACACGATTTCATTATTTTTTTTTACGCGAGAGCATTAAGACAGCTTTTCGGATACGAAGGCAATCATAGAGAAACAAGACAAAACAATGCTCCTCGAAAAATGAAAGAAAAAAACCCTAGATTCGTCCAAACAACGACATGACCCTCCCGAGTATCCATCTCTATTTATTAACACCCTTGAAAGCAGAAAACCAGAGGTAAAGAGCGACTGACAAAACCAGAAAACTCTCTCGTAGAAGGAAAAAAAAAAAAATAATAATTACATCTATGAAGAAATTTTATATGTATGTACGTAAATTATTATGAAAACGAAAGGAATTAATTATTGTTCAATCTATTATAACAAAGTTTCATCCATCTTCAAAAAAAATTCGAATATCACAAAAACATTACGCGGCAAAGAGACCTCCCCTCCCACAAACTAATGAAATGACAGTGTAATTTTTTAAGGTAGCTCATATATTTTTTCGACGATATGTTGTGATTTTGGTCGTTCGGGTGAGGAGCTGCTGGAAACTGAGGATAGGTCGTCGCTGCTACTCGTGCGAGTGGCAGTTACCTGATCGCTTAAATTCATTCTTTTGTGCTTCACGTATCTTCCAACTCTTGCCCATGGGCAGGTTTGCAATACCACCAGCTGTCTCGTATCTCGTTCCATGTAACTTCCCCAGTGTAAGACGTAACGGCGTTTTTTGCCACGAGGGGCTTTCCAGAACTGATCGTGTTCGCACAATAATCCTCTAATGGCTATGATCCGTTTAAGTACAATTGAAGGACATCGTCCCTGATAGAGATTGGCGTATTCATTGTATTCTTTTTTCTTGGCCAGAAGTTTGATGTTCATCTCAAAACTCGTCGCCTCTTTGCTGCTGAGGAAACCGGTAATAGCGACGATGGGTTCCCAAACTTCTTTGCCTTCATCGTTTGATAAACGATTGTGTTTCTGGAGACGTTCCTGGTTTTTTTATTTTAATTTATGCATTTTCTTTTGTGAGTATCAAGGGAAAGAAAGACGATTACCAGGGCTCACTTTATGTCGCATTAATATTATTTTTGAAGTTATCGTGAGATATTACCTTGAGGTCATGGGTATTACCAACGTATACCTTTGAGTTGTTAGGGTTGAAAAGGATGTAAACACACCAAGTATTAACGACAGTTTCTATTTTCGTGGGACTCGACATAATTTTTTTTTTTTTTTTTTTTTTTTATCACAGATAAAGAGTTGGTCGGAATTTGGGTAAGAGGGTAACAGAAAAGGGACAAATAAATTCGACTGTTATTTATAATGCGATTGGGCTTATGTGACGTTATTGTTTCATGGGAATCGTGGCACATGTTGAGGGCCCTAGTTTGGGTGGGGCATGCAAAGATTTGAACACTGATGTCCAGATATGGTCAACGACTAAGAAATTTTCAAACGAACTTCAGAAAAATCTCCATCAATTCCGTCAATTATGCAATCTCATTTGTAGTAACTCATTGAACTTTGGACATTGCCTTAGTCACACAACAAAATAATATTATTTGTTTGCCGATAAAGAAGTTTATAGGGTGATATAATATGATGATAGCTGATTCACGAACGAATGTAAGAAACAAGGAACCAGAGGTCACGAGGAATCACTTTGATAAACAAAAAACTTTCCGTTTCTCACACCTTCCCTAAAAAGGGTTCGACAAGGAAATAAAATCTCGTCATCTTTTTTCTCCAACAATTACCGGTTTCTCCTTGTCCGCTGCCAACGACATATCTCGAGAAGAGATCAAGAATCCCTCTCGTCTTCTCACTGCGAAGAAAGTCGGGTGCACGTTTGCATGTGTTGCGAACTTTAAATCGCACCTGCGCCTCACCGAAAATCAATTTTTACAAAACTTGCTTGTCTGCACCAAATGTTCGGCATTTCATCCGACGCCGAGTCCAAGGTCGCTCGGGAAAGGTGATCATTGTGTTCGAGATGAGTTGTTCGATCCGTTACTCGATAAAAATGGTATGCGGTCACAATGGCAACTGAGGAAATTCGTAGATCCAACCGAGTCATGACTGTATAAGAAATTGATGATTTCGGATACCTGGGGGGTCGTTGAAATTTGAACGCGAGAGGGTCTTCCTACCAAAGGAAAGCAAGAAATTACGGGTTTGGAAAGGATTTGTATAAAGAGAAAGAAGATAGAAGGATTATATACAATATTATGGATGTCAGAAATTAACAAATACATGTAAAAAAAGGGGGGATTTCTAGATGCAAACTAATCTAAATCGGGCACGTCACATTGATAAATGAGAAGGTATCATTCTGACATGAAACGACGAGATGAGAAATACCGATTCCAAGCAGTTTTGTAAAGGTTGACATAGGTTTTATATATAAGAAAAAAAGAAAAGAAAAAAAAAAAAAAAAAAAAACACCCTTCCTTCCTAAAAATCCCCGTTATTTACTTGACCGCATGTTTCTCCAAACATCTAGATTTATCAGTCTTGAACCTTTACATTAATCTTGCGATGCGTTTCGTGACGAATATTGATTTTTGCATTTGATCAGACTCACCTACATCCAAACGGCTAACCACTACGAATTGCTTTCGACCCCGGTTAAAAATACTATTGAGATGATCTAAAGAAAAATAGCGAATCACATGATCAACCGTTTGGATTGGGCCCCAAAATTGAGTCGAGAGCTACAAAAATAAACTAGTGTGACATTGTTTGTGTCCGAATTTGTCAACACCGCCTAAAGTTTCTATTGACATATCACTTTATTGAAACTTATTGTTTATGAATAATATTACAAGAGGACATGGTTCTGCAATGGTCAAGAACTTTTGCATATTAACGAATATATATAAAATAAACAAACAACAATATAAACACATTTAGCTTAACCAAATTGACGTCGTGCATACACACATATCTGCAATGTTGATTTGTCATGCAGCTCAGAGATTTAATTATCACAATGATTTTACTCTTATGGTGGTTTACTTAGGAATGCCCCAAACTTGTTTAGGAAAGATCGAGTGAAAAGAAGATTTTCTTTTAATAATTAATTTAGTTCATCTTCATATAAGGTCGATATGATAGATGAAATAAATGTGCGTATACTTATTATACCTGTATACTGTATATATTTTTTCTTTCATTAGAAACGGAAGGTTAAGTGAGGAACTGCAAAAAACATCCTCCTTGCATGAGTGACAGACGAAAGGATGATGCCGGGAATTGATTGTCTCCCTTTTGTGAGGTTCTCGTTTGGCACGCATTAACGCATTGATCTAGATGTCTGATGCGACAAATCCATCAACCAACGTGATATCGCAAATTCGTACGACCCAAAAGTGATGAAAGAAACACCAACTCGAACGTGTGGATCACGAGACTTGATAAAATTGACGAATCATTCTTTCCGAGCAAAGAAATCTCACATGTGTTTAAAACGAAAGAAGATGACATAGACATTGGATTACGCACGTTCTGTGTGGCTCGTTTCACCTGAAATTATTTGCAATCATTGGTAATTTTTTTTTTTTTTAAAAAAAAAAAAAAGGAAAGGAACGAATGAGTCGTAACAGGAAAACACGCGATCGAGTTGGTGATAAGGAAGTTACGATTGATGATAATAGAAGATGTGAAGTATGCAAAGTCCATGATAGATCGCTGTGCGCATGGTATTATGTAATGTGTCGATCATCTAAAATCACGTAAAAATTCTTTTACAGTACCAACGGCCCAGACCTTTTGCACTCACGAGTAGCATGCATCTTAATTTTTATCATGAATCCAGATAAAAAAAGGGTATAGAGTTTACGGCAAAATAATGATAATAAAAAAAAAAATTATTATTATTATTATTATCGTATTGGGTATAAAGTAGAAGAGGGGCAGAGCTCGTGGTAAGGGTAAGGAAGACGACGATGGAAAGTTGTGATGCTAAAGGAGACAAGGATGTCTTTATGTTTATTACGCAAATACAGCAATTGAATTGATGGTCATTTATGACTAGTCTGAGGTCATTCATTTTAGGCATTGATATTCACTGAAAGGAAAAGTCAAGAAGACTTTGTGTACTTTACAGCGTGGGTTCGCATACATCAATCACACTTTATCCGAGGAAAGACATTTATTAAGTTCAAGTGATGTGGTTCGTAGTAAATGGATGTAGATTGCGGAGGTCGCCGTCACATGAATACTTCAACGGAAACCACAAAGTTATTGGATACGACTTTGAGGAAGAATCCAAAATTTTTGGATCGATATCATGAATCCATATAAGGCAATAAATAATATAAAGACATCTCACGTCGACTAACAGTTTTAGAATTATTTTATGCTTTATTAGGATATTTGGGCACAGTCACCAGGTATATAGTCAGGTGTATGACGATGATGCGCGTGAGCATATATAGTAAGTGTATGGTGTTACTAACAGTATTTAAAAAAGAACGTTGATTACTTGAGCCTGAATATGGTATCATAACACAACAATGTCACACCAATAGAATCCAATTATCCGTCTATTCCATATTTAAACTATCATTTTATACAGATACAACGAATATTTTCTCATCTTCCATTTCTTGCGCACACCGCCAATCATTGAAAATGTCTATGAACAGCACGTAGTGGTAGGACTGAGAATCTTCTTTCCAATCTATGGTATAACCAATTCCGCGAAATTGGGAGCGAAGATTTTATACGACCAAACCTAAATCTTCGTCTTTAGGCATCACATTAATCCTCTTTGCAACTGGCAATAATAACATTCTCAAAAGAGGTGACATTGATTACTTCTCCTTGGTAATTCATTGGTCAAAGAATCATGTTTCTTTCGTGATTCTATGACTACACCTGCAATGTGGACCGTTTCTATAATAAAATACTTGGGTACCTTTCTATTTTTTCGTTAATTTGTTCAAAACATAGTTTAAATCAGGTGGCCAATTTTACCCGTAAATAATGTCCCCTTTTATTTTTAAATGGGTGTTTGATTTGTGGACACACTCTATTATTTATTATCATCTAATAATATGAATTTGACAATTCCATGCACTCTTTTGACTGGTTTTCAATTATAACTTTGGATGATATACATTTTTCATTTTATCCTAAAATATCCATTGTCCAAATATACCCGACAAATGTGATGCTATCGCCTTCCGTATGCATTGAGTATAATTACACTGCCAATTTTAGATAACTGATTCAAGGCATAAAATTGCATACCGAAATTACCTGTGTTTAAATCATACATCCTTTCTCGACCGTTGCCGAAACCACGTGTTAAATTTATTTATCTCTATTACAGTAATGTATTAATCGTTATTGTCATATACTGCGCACACTTTATGTATTAATTCCAAAAAATTTTATCATTTTCAGTTTAAACCTTTTCTACATGAATAAAATAGAAATTCCATCGATTCCAATATTTATGACATATGACATACTGTATTCATCAGAACCTTTGAGTAATAATGTTATATTTCTTTTATGAACCAGGGATTAACGGTATCACAGAAAAATCCACAATCTTTCTTAGCAATTATTATTATTTATTATTTTGCATCATATGATATAATAGATTAATTAAAAAATGCACTTTTCGGCTCATTATCTTACTTTAAGTCTTACGCTTTGTTTCGGGACAACAAGTGAATATGTATATACAGTATATTTCTTATATTGGTAATATAAGAAAAACCCAAATGCATACCAATAATAATACCAATACCAATGAGATAGTAGGAACTTTGAAGAATTTTAAAAAAATATAAACATATAGGATAAACAGTGTGAAACAAAAATATTTTTTAAAAAAAATCAAACCTCATATTTCTATTAATAATTTCATAATTAATTAATTAATTAAAATAAATATAGACATGTGTATATTTGGAAATATAAAGAATAAAAATATATAAAAAAGTTTTTTAAATATATTAAAATAATATAATTAAATTATAATTAAAAAGAAAAAGCAATTTAAAATTTTTAACTTTTTTGTTGATTACAAAAAAAAACAATAATATCAATTGTTAAATTATTATTTCAATATATAAATTAATTAAATAATATAGATTAATAAATAAATAAATATATATATTATATTATATTCTTGTAAACCTATGAATCTATAGCTTAATAAATAGTACTTTTAAATTATCAAATATAAGTCTCTAGTTCAATATCTACAAAAGTAATAAAAATAAATCCTTAAATACTATAGTTTCGCATATAAAATTTTGCAAATTAATTATATCTTTTTTGAAAGAAATATAATTATTTACTTATTACTTTAATAGAAACAAAACTTAATTAATAATTGAATTACTACTATATAATAGTTATAAGTATTTGTATCTCTTTTAAAAATTAAAATTTTAAAAAAAAATAAATATTTATAACTATAATAAATACAAAATTTATACTCAAATATTTTTGCTTATATAAATAATTTTACTTTAATTATTAACTTTAAATTGAAAATAAAATTCTTCTTAAAACAATTAATTAATTTTTTTAAATTAATAAAATTATAATTATTTATAACAAAAACAAATTAAGATTATTGACAATATTAAAGTTAAATAAAAAAAATCAAAAATTATTAATTTTGAAAATTATTTAATTCAAATTCTAAATCTTTATAAAAATAGAAATTATTTTAAACTTTTCTCTTTTTACAATATCTTTTCAAGTTCAATAAAAAAAATATTTAATTATTTTATTAAATAAATTATAAATAAACTATTCAAATATTATTAAAAGAAAAAAGATTAAACAATATACTATATATTTCCTGGCCAAAAGTTTAGAACCACCTAATAAAATTTAAATAATTGTAAATAATTTATTATTATTATAATAATATAATAACAATTTTTTATTAAAATTAAAATATATTTAATTATATATTTAATATTAAAAAAAAATTTTTTTTAATTATTTAATATTTTTTTAATTTTTTTAATTTTTTAATAAATTTTTATAAATTTTCATAATATTTAAACTATTATCAAATAAATAGATTAATTAATTAATTTAAT